ATAATAGAAATATACTATTATTAAAATGAAACTGGGTGGTTCTCCGCACATGAAAGTAGCTTTGAGTCACTAAATTGATTTAGCAGCTTAGATCCACTTCTTGCTCTCTTCGTTTGCCTGTGTCTTAGACAAGGAAGTTGTTTCTAGGTTAACAGCGTAACTCAAGTGAAAGGTAATCTGATAAAGAGGTGCTTCTGAATTGAAACAGTGATCGTAGGAGAGGCAGCTTGAATAATACCAGAACACAAAATCAGTTGTGTATATATTTGTTTAGGTGCATCTGTTTTATCGAAGGGTTTAGCACACATCACCCAGTAGAAACCACAGATCCAATATCTCAGGTATAGAGGTGAATGTTTAAATGCTACAAAAAAACCCTTTTTACCTTAACAAAAGCTGAAAATTCTCACATGAGCATACTTTTAATGAAAGAACATGATTCCTTGTTTTTTTTTTGTTTTTTTTTTTAAGTTCATGTTTCACTTCACAGAATTTCTTAGCATCAGAACTGCTTTTCAGTGAAATTCTGTTACAAAATACCTTGATGAATAGCTATAAATATCACTGATGGAAATGAGATCAACCTTGACAGAAGGGTTTCCTGTACATAAGAACATCATTTAGTTTTCATTTAGCTGGGGAGTATAAGCCTACCGATTAGTGAAGAACAAGTTTTCACGTCTGCTAGAAAAATCTGATGTGATGATCCGTGATCATATACCTGCAGTTAAACTCTAGACTGTGCAGAGTGGTGAAGCTATTTCAAATTGAACTTAAAACAGTTACAAAAACCATGTTGTCATGCCAGTGGAAAAAAAAGAGAGGATCATTTAAATTAAACTCTAACCACAGCTTGTTTGGTAACCAACTATCTACAGCTTTAATGAGATGAAAGATTTTAAAGGGTTATTTGCAAACTGCCTAATAATAAGTAATTTTAGATGTCTCAAGGCCAGTCATAGGAAGAATGCAGTCTTTATAGTTTTATAATCTTTGTGACATGGCACCCTCCAGCAAGCACAGAATGGGTCCTATTTCAGTTGCTTTAAAAGATCTGAATGTATCTGAATAAAGTTCGTCTCAGCATGTTAAAGCAGCGTGAAATACATTCCCTTGCAAATTGTTTACAGAAAAAATGTGTTTATGGAAATGTATCACTGATTAAAATTACTAAAGGTAAAAGACTCTCTCCGAGTCTTTTAATTGCATTTCTTCCTACAGTGTGGTAGTAAAGACGCTATTCTAAACTCTCACTACGAAAAATAGCAATAAAGCTTTTTTTTTTTTTCCTCCTTTGAACTGCTCTTTTTCCCTTCTAACTGCCTTGAAAACCACAGTAAATTCCAGTTTTTAAAAAACTCATGGCTCTCCTGACAAAGAAAGTCCAAACTTAATCCTGGAATTCTGATTTCGTGAACAGATAGACCTTCTCTACCTTGGACAATGAATGGAATTATGCCTTAAAGTGACTTTAATGAAGATGTTTTGATTCTGAAGAAGGCTATTTGCTTGCTCATTATTGATATCAAACATGGAAACCTGAGTTGAGTGAAAACAATACACTCAAAATTTACAGAAATGACACCAATAAATTAAAATGAGGCCTCATCCCTATTAGGAAAAAACTGCACATAACCGTAAAAAGGTTTTCCTTTGTTTGAAATGACAATTTTTTTTTTTTTTTTTTTAACAATAAGTGAAATTCCTAGATTTGTTAACATTTTCTTAATGTAAGCAGTCATAAGCAACAATTAGATAATCAACTTATTCTGTGATAATTTCTTCAAACATTCAGATTAGAATATTGTGACTGCTATAATCTTATTTCTGCTAACACAAGAGGCAACAGAATTTGGGACTGCATCTAAGAGAACTGAAATATTTCTTTTTCAAATGAATAATACTAGTATGTCTTTTTATTCTACTTCAAGATCAAAGCAATAGCAGGAGTAGGGTTTGCCCCAGGTTTTCTTCCAAGGTTGGCTAGAAAAAGCTTACACAGGGAACGGAGAGCCATGTCCTGTGACCAAAATGCTATAATCAGGGATCTTGAGAAGTTCTTGTTTGTTTACAAGCATTCTGCAGTTCAGTCACATCACAGAAGAAATACAAGGCATCTTTCCACAAAAGCTTTGAGCAAAAAGGAATGATTAATGGAAGTATTAACATTGCACTGCTTAAGTTATATCTTTTCCTCACTATTTGACTAGAAAGAAAAAACTAATTTCCTCAAACATAAACATTTCATCTGTTCTGAAATCTAATTATTTTAGAAAGATCTGTCTTAAATTGCTTTTCTTTAGTTTTCAAGTTTTAAAAAAGGATAACCAACAAAAGCTGTTACCTGTACATCTGAATGCAAAGACACTTTAAAAGATGCTCATATTTCTCACACTTTACTGTACAAGTATTTTGAGGAGAATGGGAGATTGTACAGGGAGGTCATACATTCAGATTTTTGAAGGGCATCGTAGTTCTGCCTCCAGTAATTCTGCCAATGAGAACTCCTGCAAGTCTTACATGTTCAGACAAGACAGAATGATGCACAATCAGTGCAAAATGTGTTATGTGAGTTTGGAGTAGCAGTGTTACTGCAAACAGAAGCTAATTTATACATTTTGCAATCTTAGTACTAAGACATTTACAAGTAAACTACTAAATATCAAAGATTAAAAGATCGCTGAATCAGAAGAACCTCAGCTTTTGGTATGATTAAGTTTTAATTGTATTTTTCCTTGGGGATCACTAGTAGCTAATAGCATGTAAAAACAGGTCTTTAGCAAGAATAGTAGAAGTCACTCCATGCACCATGTTTTGATATGCTTGGCTGCCTAAGTCATCCTACTGCCTGCAGTTTCAACAGTGGAAAAAAGGACTTAAAAATCCACCCCCCAAAAAAAACATGAAGCCTTACACCCTTAAATCTGTATTTTTGAAATGAAAGCTGCTTCAGTACATCATGCACCTCCTGTGAACCTCAGCATTATCCTATCACTTCTATCGTGGTATGTTTGTTAGAAAACACTGGAGAGCCAAAAATTTTCAGTCTCGCACTTCTCAAATTCAATGATGTGCACCTCACTGCTTGAGCAACAGCAAGAACAGTAAATAGGGATTGCAGCAATAACCATTTAGAATAACTTCTGGCTTTTAAAAAAATTGCTTAAGTTTTTGAAACAGCATTTGTAGGCTAGTAGAAACTTGTTCCCACTCTTCTCTCAATTGGAGCAAGAAACTCTGGACTCTAGCACGCAATGCTTCTAGAGAAGAGAGCAAGGGTGGCTCATACCTTTATGTCCCATCTACAAAGGTTGCCCAAGGAGGTTGTGGGTGCCCCATCCCTGGAGGCATTCAAGGCCAGGCTGGATGTGGCTCTGTGCAACCTGGCCTAGTGACTGGTGACCCTGCACAAAGCAGGCAGGAAACTAGATCATCATTGTGGTTCTTTTCAACTCAGGAAAGTCTATGATTCTATAATGTGCTGGAGCACAGATGGAAAAATTCCACAAGTAGAAACGGAGGAATGTCACCTGCACTACATGTAGCCAGGAAGTAAAATTTTAATTTCTGCCTCCCAGGGATCTCCCCCCATCCCCCATTCTAGGATCTTCTGAATGGAGCTAGTGAAAGATACCACGGCTAACGTGGTGGGAACTTTAATAGCCTAGTAAGCCATTAATTAAAATTGCAATTAAAGTCTTTTGGGGAGTCTTCACTTATCCCCTCCTACATATCCTATCCAATGTCTCATTTACTAATTCAAATAATGGTTTTGTTCTACAATGGTTAATCTGAATTCACTTCAAAAACGTTCCTACAGAATTTGAGGCAGTACAATAGCATTTTTATAACCACATTTTCACAATTGAAAATAGAAATCTTGCACACACGACATGTAAAAAGAAATATTTCTATAATATAATAAAACTCACAAAAGTGTATTAACTAGATTAATTAGTCTGCATTAATAAATGAAATATATCTTCAACATAAAAGGGTATAATAATAGCATTACTTTAACGATCTATTAACTAATAATGACAGACCTCTCATTCCCATAATTATTCACTTGGACCTCTCAGAAAATTGATACCAGTATATCACAACTGGGATGCAGACGAAACACAAAAGACCATCAAGGCTATCAGCTAAACAAAAACAGAATATAATGCATTGATTTTTATAGTGATCTAAATCCAAAGGCCTTGCCAAGCCCCACAATGCTCTAACAGGTGCAGCAATTATATATGGCACAGCTTTAGAGATGCACTAACAAATCAACTAGGAGCTTTGCAGTTTTGATGAGAGGATGAACTGTTAATCAACAGATATTAACATCCTAACTTGCCAAGTAAAATTAAAGTCAGGGGATGAAAGCACAGATGCCCATAACCAGGTCAAAACTAGTGAACATTTTGGAAAAGTGAAACAATATTTTTGTTGTTTACTTCCTGCAGTTCAAAAACCTCTAAAATATAGAAGGTTCTTAAGTGTGCTGCTCTACAGAAATCCAGGGATCTATATTACCTCTGAGTTTGCATGAGGCATACTTCTCCTTGTAGCAAGATCCCATCGCATTTGACATATCTGGGATTTCTCTTACAGAAACACTGAAAGAGAATCTTACTCCTTGACAGAACTACTCCTCCTGAAGATGTACACCTCACTATCTAGAACTACACAACCTCCAGATCACAACTGTTGCCTTGCACACATGCTGTGAACACAGAGAGAGTTCCCCTCACTGCAGAGGTATGAGAGTAAATCAGCCCCTGCAGTATACAAAGCTGCACACAAACACACAAAGATTGATGCTGCTGTGTGAAGCCCCCTCACTGCCTGAAGAGAAAGCTGAAACTTGTAGAATAGCAAGCAAAGTAGGCATCTGGTTTCTATACATAAGCATGAATACTAAACTTCATGAAGAAATACTTTCTTCACAGCATTTATTCCTCAATTCAGGAATTTGACAGTTTAATTACTCACCTGAAGCAAGTTCCTAGCACTTGAATATATTGGGGCTTCACATGTGTCCTCAATGAGGCAATTACTTCACCTTCTTACTCTGAATGAATACTGAAATCAAAGTGAAGTCCAGCAGATATTTTGTTCCATTTGATCTAACCTGGATTTCCTGTTGGTTACTAGATTTTTCTTTTTTCCCTCACTCAAGCTGAGCTATTGAAATTTGTACAGCCTTTCTAGAGAAAACCTAGGCTTGATAAATACCAAAGGATAACCGGTTTTGATTTTTAGAAGGTAGTATACAAAAAGCTGGCATATAAAAAATTAACCTTACAACATGTGTTTTTATAAATATATCCACTGGCTACAATGCTTAGGGGGTTTTGACTAGATACTGAGATCAGTTATATCCAGCATTCATTAACAGGGGTAACAGTCTCTATTTTCAATAAAGACTGAAATAACACCCATATCCCATATAAAACACACCTCTTTGTGTTGTCTTTAAAATTTACACTGAATTACCATAAATAAAAAAAGCATCTTGAGAAATACAAAGGAACGTTTAATAGATTTAGGTACAACTATACACTTAAAAATGCCATGACTAAGAACTAGAAGATGACACTTGTTACAACACAAAGGCAACACAGAAAGTTCATGGTTGTGCTAAGATTAAATCTAACCAGAAAAAAGAACCAGACACATACACATGATTTCTGCTATTAGAAGCCAAACCCTGGCATACCACTTTTTTTTTTTTTTTTTTTTTAAAGGACTCAAGCAGTAAGCAAAGTCTTTAAAACCATCATTCCATTAATTCACAACTCATTATGTTAGTGAAATCTACAAACACACTTCACCTTCCAATGTGCTACTAGTTACATCAGTATTACTCACCTGATGGCAAAGTTTCTAATCTGGAGGACCAAGGCAAACCTTTCACTACTTCACTCCACTCTAGGGAATAAAAAATTAAGTCAAACTGCATGAAGTTAAGCATGATTATTCAACTGCAACTATTGCTAATGTAATAAAACCACTATTTTTTCTCCCTTAAAAAAAACTTAAAAAAAAAAAAAACAAACCACAACACACACACACACACACCCCACAACACTGTTCACATGTGATTTTGTGGGGAAAACAGTGTTACTGCTTTGTTCACAAAGAAACAAAAACACTCCCAACAGGTTCTTCGCAACACCAGGCAAAACAGTCACAGAAAACCAATAATTATTTACAGAAAGAGCCTAACTCACTCCACTAGTAAAGAGAACCTCTACCTTTAAAGTAACCCAAAGATGCTCTCCCTTCAGTGGCTAGCCCTTATACGAGCCCAGGATGGAGCCATCCTGGGTCCACCCCTTCTGGTGGAGCACAGGTGCAAATAATTTGCTCCCTGTACTCCCTGGGTCAGTCACACCCTTTCACCAGGTGCTTAATCACCAGTTTAAGCCCTCACCTGACAGTTTCCCTCCAATTACTAATTGATTTACCAAGATAGAGAAACCTTCTTCTCTATTCAAATAACATGAAACATTTAGTTTCAATTTCTTGTGAAGTCTCAAACACTTCATTTTCCAGATTGCTTCAGACCAGAGCTTTAGGTTTTACTCAGACATTGGGATTGCCAATACGTTGAAAATTCTCTTTGATTTCAACTTGACTGTCTTAAAATGATCCCATGTTGCCTTTTATCTGAATGTTTGTCTGAAAGCAGAACAGCAAAATCTCTACTGTATTTTCTTTGATGGATATATCACTAATCAAAATAGCAACAGAAGAACTATACAAAGAACTTTTATTTCTCATTTACTCTTTTAGAGGGTACCTACACCACTCAGCCTTTGGCATGGGTTTTGACTGTGTATACACAAATGCTCTGTAATTCTGGCAATGGTAAACCTCATCAGATCTTTTGAACTCATTAATAGTTGATGAGATCAGAAGTATTTGAAATAGCTCATCAAGTGTACTGATAAGAATTGATGTGTTTTTGCTTCCATAAATGTCCACAAAGAACTTCTGGTAAAGGGAATGAAAAGAAATGGAAGAAAGTGGTGCAGAAATGGGATAGTGAGAGGGAATAAAGGAACCAACATGCTGGATGACTTAACATGTATCAGAAGCTACTGAAAAAAATAATTCCAACATCATCCTGTCATAATCGAGATACTGCTTGAAATAAAGGAATAGGGTATTGTAGAACAATAGGGGAAATTTAAGATGGAAGAATAGTCTGATATCATTTTGGATGTATGGCATGGTGAAGATGAACTCTCCTTTATTCTGTTTTTTTGTGTGCCTCAAAGAAGATTTAGTGTGAAAGATGAGGGATGGGCTGGTGCAATCTGCTTAGTCACCAAAATCTTAGGGATAGAGATTTCATGCTGCTGGGGAATATATCATTAATTCATTGTAGAAAAAAAAAATAAAAATTATACAGCATCTTTTTCATTTGCACAATATGAATACTGTCAGAAACTGAGCACAGAACAGATGAGTTCCTACATATAGGTGAATTGAGTGCAATATGATATATGTCATGTGCTATTAGCAGTACCTGGTGCTCTGGCTTAAAGCAATGATGCAGATCCTTTGGTCAAGTATGGATAAATATCACTGCGGCATAACAGAATACTATGACATGTCCGTTACTTCAGTGCTTAGTATTCAAAAATTAAATCTGTATGTTTTATATATCGTTTTATCTTACAAAAGATAAATGCATTTCTACTCAAAATTTTAAGGATTGTTATTAAACTTTTTGGTCTTCAGGATCCCTACCATAGCAGAAAAGATGGGAACTGAAGAATCAGCTGAAAGCTAAGTAGATAAAACTCCATACACTAAAGATCTCCCACTGTCTTGAAAATTCTGTACTATTCACTGCCTTGACAAACTATAGTCAGCATTAAAATCTAAAATTAGAGGTCAAACACCATATCTAGGCAAATAATTGCACTGACTTTTTTGTAGCTACCCAGCCATCTACTTGAAGTATCTAAATAGGAATGGAGTCGCACAGTTTTGTTGTGATTTAACATGGGCAACTCTCATCTGCTTATGGCTTTGTTCCTTCCCTTGCTGAAGGTTACTCTTTGTGTCTCACAGGCAGCCTGTTATTTCCCAAAACTACTCACATAACTCAGGACAACCTCCTCTCTTTTTTAAAGTTGTAGATGCTTAGGCATCTAGCCATTCTCACTGCCTGTACCTTTATCAGGTACTCGTAGTATCAAATCACAGTCTAGCCTCCAGCATGATAATAATAGAATCAGGGAGTGCTGCAGCCATAGCTACAGGAATGTTGTTTTGGTTGACACATTGGTAATTCCAAGTCCAAAAAGAGAAGGCCATTTATTAGTTTTGTTATCCAATTGTATGACAGTAGGAAAGATGAGCATTACATAAATTATTTTCTATTCATGAGGAAAAAAGCACGCAAGATTTGGTGCAAGCATTTGATTTTTTCTTTCAAATTTCTTTTTAAATGTTTGTATTTTAATTTTAACTGAGAAACAAAATTTGAATTTTGTTGGTGGACAACTCTGTCAAATGCTTAAAAGCCACTAACGACCACAAACAAAATTATATTCTATTAAATATACCTTGTTATTTGATATAAATATTCATTTTTGCAGGCATTTCAAGAGAAACATTATTAGAGTTTGTTTGAGATGAGGGCTTCATATTTTGTTGGAAATACATTTTTGAAGGCACAGACATTAACAGAAATGTGTAATATTTGCATTAGTAAGTAGTCATAAAGTACATCTTATGTTTTGTAGTATTGTATTTTTGAAGAAATGGTCATGAAATTACAGAAATATTTTTTCAAATGCATATATCTAAGGAAAGTTTTAAATACGTGTACGGAATTAGAAGTATTTTTCTATAGCTTTTATATCACACCTTGTTTAAAAAACTTTAGAACTAGACTAGTAGTTGTTTAATTATCTAGGAATGGAAATAGGCTTTTGTTATCAGAGGAGTAATTCCTGAAGTGTAACTACTGAGCTGTTAGAACTTTTCTAGGCTTGCCAGCGTAGGCATCTGTCATATGAGTTTCCCCTTGCTACCCAACAAATGGCCTGAACTTAATTCAGAAGGGAATATTCTAGCTGTCAAATCATACAAAAGCTATTTATGATCACCAACAAAAAGGAATAGATATATGCAGAAAGCTTTACATATTTTCCCAGTGAAAGCACAGTAATGTCAAAAGTTTAAATATTAAAGGGATTTTTGCTCTTTGCATGTAAACCAGAAGAAAGAACATTTCTCCATCTTTGAATGAAAGCAGTAACATGATGAGGAAATTTTTTTAGCACTTTCTCATATTTGTGATAATGCATGGATGACTTCTGACTCTGACAGAGGTGTTACTCTTGACTAAGCTGAAGTAAGAAACAAAAATTTAGAGGGATATTTAGCAGTGAATATATTAAACAAGGTCATCACTTATGGAATTCAAAGGCGAGTCTGTAAATAATTTTTTTTGTATATGTCAGAAAGACAACATAATAAAAAAAAAATAATTCCACATTTGTTATAATTAGAAAGCAAAACAAAAAGCAACCATGCATACATTTGAAGAAACCATCACAAAAAAAAAAAAAAAGAAAAGAAAAAAGAAAAGAAAAAAGGAAAAGGAAAAGAAGGTGGAAAAAGAAATAATCGTTACAATTAAATGCAAAGATCAAGATTTCAATTAAGTGGGAATCCAAACATAATTAGAGTGCACAAATAAACATCAAGATCTTTTTAAATCTTTATCTTATAAAACTAAAATTTGAACCCATACTAATAATCATGAGTGATTTCACCTTTGGCAGACATTTATGAAACATATCTCGAACTAATGACTGAAACATCATTACAATTCCTGAAAATAAAATATGTTTACTGCTGTCAAAATTTTCTCCTCCAACTTCACTGAATTCACTATTTGACTCATTTTGATAAGCAAAGATACAGTAACTACAGATTTAAAAATCAGCAGTTTTCTAGATTTCATTGTCCTATTTAGATTTACTTCATGTGAAAAATATATATATATATATATATCACCATTTAATTGTCCTATTTGTTGTCCTGTTACTATTTGTCCAAGTCAGTCTCCATCTTTCTATAAGCACCCATTAGGTACTGGAAGGCCACGAGGTCTCCCCAGAGCTTTCTCTTTGCCAGACCAAACACTCCCAGCTCCCTCAGCCTCTCTTTGGAGGGGAGGTGCTCCAGTTCTCTGATCATCCTCGTGGCCCTCCTCTGGACTGTAGTTAACATCTATCTAATGTGAGAAGACACTACACCTTTTCAAAAGGTTTTTCTGAATAGTCTGGGGACTGTAAATTGACCTACACCATGGAAGGATGGATGGCAGAGAGCATTCTGCTATGTCTGTTCTATGGACATAGATCAAATACAATTTTTTAGATATTTTTATTGGAAGTGAAATAAGAGTGCACTATCCTTTTTTCGTTAAGGAAGGAAGATACATGATCTTTGCAACAACTGTGTAGCATTGATAAAGAGAAATAATCAATATGATACAAAGACAGGCAACACTGCAATCTTTTCTGAAGAGGTATTATCTATACATCAGTTCACATTGTTGTTTACAATACATTATCATTTGTAGTCCTAAGGGATTCTATCTCACCAATTTCCATAAAGAGAATTCCCATGCCCTGTTCCCCCACGTGCTACCAACAAAGCAATAAAAAGAAGCACACTATATTTCTAATCCTCAGTTTCTCAGATAGCATAGCCAAGAAGTTTGATAGGATTTTGAGATGAATAGTCAAGTGAGAGAAGTCTGAATATGCACACAATCATCTTGAAGATTAAAAGTTCCACAGCAGTAATTCATCTTCTTGTGAAGTGATTGTTCCTCTGTAAAGATACATGGTAATGATTCCAAGTAGTATTCCTTGCAATGAACTGGAAGAGTTCTTCACACCCTTTAGTTAAGTGAAGACTGAGAGGTGGACTTCTCAAAGACTCTATTTTTTCTAGACACCTCAGGAAGCGCATAACATTTAGTGAAAGTTTGAAAGGAGCTCCAGGTGGCTGTACAACAAATGTCAAATACTAGAAAGTTCATGGGAAAGCCACTGTTTCTGCTTGAATTGCATCCAAGTGGACCTTTTGTAAGAAAAAAAGGTTTAGTGATTTTGATGGTGTTCTTTTACACACCAGACATCTTTGAGAGGGGACTACCAGTTCCTTGGGTCTTTCAGCTTCTGATGAAAAAAGACTGTATTTTAAGGTCATGTCCTCATTACAACATCTAATTTTTGGAGATTTGTTTCCAAAGAAGTGTGAAGTTTATGAAAGATGACAGGCAAGTTAACTTCCTTCAATACATGAAAGTCAAAATTCTCTTTT